TAGATCCCGATAAGGTTTTAATGAGCCTTGGTAATGCTTGAATTTGTTTAAAAGGAGTAGTATTTGATATGTTTGTAAAAATGGGCATACTCCCAAGGGGGAGATCATGTGCTTGAGTAGAAACATTGATTGAAAGTCCCGATATCCCCATCGTTTCTTCTATTCCTATTCTAGCTTGAGGCCAAGAATTCCTTTTTGGACTTGTTTTATGTTTAGGATTCATGTGTGTATTAGAAACTTTCCATGGTCTCCTTATGCTATGCATGCTTTTGAAAGATTCTTATTTAGTATAAAATGGATTTCTCACGAGTTACATGTTCCTCATGTTGTTGTGCATCTTAGTATGGTGATTGCATATTTGACTTCATGAGATGATGAGATGAACATGCTTTGTTGAGTTTTTGATGAAATGGCACATTGGCTCCATAAGGTTGTATTGAGCTTGCTTATAGTTTGAACAAAGTAATTCTTCATATGACAGGGTGATTAATGATGTTTGGAAGTGTTTGTGAAGGCTCACTCCCAAGAAGGAGATGGTGTGACTTGCTAACATGGTGTTATGTGCTTATGTGTTGCCTTGACTTCCATATATAATCCATGTTCACGAAAACTTGTGTTTTGAAAGGAAATGAGTTTATGTGAATTTTTTTCCTCATGTAGTAGTGCTTTGGTTTATAGGTGCCTATTCTACTTCATGAGAATGTTATATAAGCATGCTTTAGTTTGGAGTTAAGAAATTCCTCCATGAATGAAATGCTTTTGAGAGTAAATTGCACAATGTTCTTAATGATGTTATGATGAGCATGATTTGAGTTGGAGAAGGTAATTCCTCCAATGAAATGAGAATTATTGAAGTTTTGGTGCATAATGAGTTTGTAGATGTAGTTCCTACCTTCTTGTTTGCATTGAGCCTTTTTTATGCGGAGTTGATGTTTCTTCCTATGGTTTATGCATTATATTGATGTGTCATACATGATTGGGCTGCTAGTTTTGAGTCTTTAATTCCATGAAGTGTTTCAAGTGTCATTCGAGGACGAATGTTCCTAAGGGGGGGATAATGTAACACCCCGTAAAAACTAGTAAGACCTAGCTAACGCTTGACGGAATCCAGTAGGTGAAACTAGAGCCTCACATGTGAGTTTGAAGTTGGTAACTTGATTAAATGTTGTTAAATGGTTTCCCGAGTGAAGATGGAGGAATTTAGAGGTTAAAGGTCAAGATACGACTATAACGCCCGAAAACTAGTAAGTTGAACTTGTTAGTCGTAGAATCTTGTAGTGAAGATTTGGTGTGTCGTATGAGGGTTAAAATCAAAATAAATGGCTCATGTACTTAGAATGACATGTTTAGAGGTTAAACGTCTGGGTACGACTCCCCAAGGACCACCCAAGGGGTCCTTGGGGAGGACCTCAACACTACCCAAAAAGCTGTCAAAACAGCTTGATTCACGACCTCAATTGACATCCAGTAGATCAACTTACGCCCCGTAGGTCATGGGCGTAGGTCAGGCCTGAGTTGGCCTGCAAAATATGAGTCTCTGACCCAAACCACGTTCAGTAGACCTATCCACGGTCCGTGGATGGGGATCCGTAGATGGTGCCAGTTTTTGGTAGTTTAGTTTTAAGTGAGGAGTTGAGGGTTAGTTTAGTAATTAGTTTAGGGTTATGAGGGGCGATTAGTTTGTTAAATAACCTCCTATAAATAGTTAATAGACCCTAAACTAATCACTTTAACCCATTCATCTAAAGACCCAAAGTCAAAATCCCAACTTTTTTCCCTCCCAAAAATCTTCTCTCTAGACTCCATTGAAGAACATAGGAAGGGATCAAGCTAGAGCTTCAAGAAGAAGACTTTTTCATATGAATTTGATGGGATTCTACACCTAAGGCATGGATGCTTTTCATTCTTGGGTAGCTATCACTAGGATGCCCCTTCAACTATGTTTTCAAATTCCCCAAATCTAGGGTTTTGAAATCTAGTCATGGGTCTTCTTCAAAACGAAATAAATTGTTTAATTATGGTTTAGTTTTATTATTTAAGATGATTTATGGTTGGATTAATGGAGTATTGATGGAGTTTGATAAAAATCTCCCTTGGACCCATGATTTCCCCTTCTTCCCAAATTGTGAACTAGGGTATGACTTGATTGATGATGAAAGCTTAACAATGAATTATGTTTATATTGAATTACTTTTTATACAGATAATACTACTGAATTTAGATGATTCTAACTTGAATTTCAAAGAATCCATGAGTTTCCCCAAACCTAGCTATGGCTCTTCTCTAAACTATGAATGTTGTTAGAAATTGACTCAATTTATTGAATGTGAGTTGATTGTGATGTAATTACATGACCTAAGTATGAATCTACCTATATTATTGATTAACCTAAGATTATAGGGTTATATCATGAAAGAGGCAAATTGAGGGTTAGAGGTGAACCTTTAATATTGATGAACTTCTTAGTGAATTGCCTTAGATTAGATCAATTAGACATGAATTGCTTATGAATGAATATTGTAGACATGAACTAACTTGATTAGGTCTTATATCATGGATTATGGTTGAGGTAGTATTGTGATCTAGTCTACTTGATGCTATGTATCTATAATTGAGTGAGAATGAAGTATGTAGTTAAGTTTACCTTAAGAGTTAGGTATACATGGTTACAATGTGAGGTGTTGCTTGAGGGTAATGCTCATAATATGAAGATAATTCCTAAGGTTTAAATGTTAAAAGATAATATGAATAAGTTAAAGATGCTTAGGCTTAAAGAAGAAAGCTATTATGTAGGTTGAAGTTGCATATGGCATTATTGTGCAAAGACTTCACCCACATGACCTATAATATGATCGCATGACTTTATGCATGAAATAAATGTATTACTTGAGTCATGGTTGTATCTATGTTATGTATGTTGAATGTTAGATGTGTTGACTCAATGTGACTCTTAAATGCAATATATGTGTATAATGTGTGATTATGGTATAATGTACATGTTGATGTACACTTGAGAAGGAAGTGTATATGATGATAATGTATCTATGGTGTTGATTGAAAGGTTAGTTCTCATATGCACCTTTACATACTTTATGCATGAAATATACATGACCATGTTCATCCACTTGAAAGGTGGAGGTGTTTAGTTATTGTGTATATTGTGGTATTGATGCAAGATCCTCCTTTCTTATACCCCTATACATGGTTATGTATGATATGTTATGACTATGGTCGTATTGTTGTGTTGAATGAAAGGCTATTTCTCATGAACACACTATAAATATAATGTGAAAGGTTTAGTCACTTATTGATGGTTCTAAAGTGAAAGGATATTCTCACCTAATGAATCTTTGAGCTATTATGATGAATGTAGGTTTGAGTGCCTAGTGCATTCTCTTATAACCTTGAACTTAAATAAAGACTTAATGTAACTTTTAAAAGTAAATATGCTTAGCACCAAGCGGATATGTAAATGAGATGGAAACTTTTACGCTAGAAAGTCCGGCTTCCCAATAGGTTCGTTTTACGCTAGTTAGTTTGGGTTCCCAATGTATGTTGTCTCATGGGATGGAAACCTTCTATGTTTAGCAAGTCTGGGTTTCTAGTAGAAACCCCCATATCCCAAAACTATGTGCCCACATAGGACTTAGCTAGTGGATCCACCTAAAAGCTAGGATGTACGTTCTACCTTAGGCAAGTAGGACACTCTTTTTTCAGTGTGGGAGTAGAACACCAGATTCCATGTCGCTCACATGGTCTATGTCGATTGAGGTTAATTTCACTAAATGATACGAATACGAGCTATAATAAAATCGTGGACTCTAATCATGAATTTTTAAGATGTACTACTTAGTATGAGTCGGGGTATGGGACTTCACCCATACTTTTCACAAATAGACTTTAAGAGAGGTTATGGTTAGGTTCTCTTATATAATGAAGACTTATGAATTATGTATGTGTGATGTGAATGAATGTTAAGGTTGGCTTACTTGTTATGAGTTATGATCATGAATGTCTCCTTACTTATGTGTGTTGGTTGTGAATGAACTAAAAGTAAAGATATGATGTTGTTGGTGGTCTAAATGTGATACTGAGCATTTGGTAGGGTTATGGGACCTTACCTTTGCATTGAACTAATTTGACTTTGGGTTGCATATATGTGTTGTGATCTTAGGTTATGCATGATCATGGTAGCCTAAAAGTGAGACTTAGTGTGGATAGGATTATGGGATCCTAGCTATGCATTGCGCAAGTTTAGCTTAGTGTTTCCCATGTGATAGTTCTATTATGTTGATATGATCTTTCTATGTACTTATGTATGTGAACTATGTCTTGTGAAGATTGGAGTATGCATTATGTTGTGTTGAAAACTATGCTTATAATTGTGATGGTATTCTATATGTTATGATGAATTGTGCATGACTTGTCTTATGATCTACATTCTCCAACTATTTCAAAGATGATGTTCAAAAATGGCATGAAGCATCGCTTTAAACTAAATGTCCCTTTTATGCATGTTTTAAGGATTTTCTTGCATGGCTTTCATACTTAGTACATTTTGTGCTAACCCATATTTCTACATTTTCTATAAGTGTAGGCTTTAGAGATATTGGATTCCATCCTCGTGGCTAGGTTCATAGGAGATCAAGAAGAAGAAGATTGGTGAGTACTCATTGTATTCAAGGGCTCAACCATATGTCCTTTATTGTCCTTCTATTATGTTTTAGTTTTATGTATTGGTCGTGTCCCTAAGATTGTATTAAAGAGTTTTAATTCTAATGTTATAGTTGGTTTTAGACATAGTGTCATAGACTTTCTCACATTTTATAAAGACTTCGATTGTAAAGAAAAGTTTTAAATTTTCCGCATTTTTCCTATGTTCTTATGTCATGATATGCTAAGGGATTGTATAAGACCCTTTCGGGGTCAAGTACTCCATGATACGACTAGGGGGTGCTCTCGGGTCGTGACACTGTCTCAGCCTAATACTCAGCCTTAAACTAATCCATAACAACATCTCTAGTACTGGTAGCTGGAGGAACCTCTGAACTGGCTGGAACATCAGTGCTCGGAATGTCGGGGATCTCAACTATGCCGAATAGCATCGACAAATCAGTGGACTTCAGCCCATCTAAATCCTTCTTCAGCCCAAAACAATTGACCTTCAAGGTCGTCATAACAGAAGAATCAACCCGACCCTGCTTACAAGCCTCTACCCTCACCGTAAGGGAGTCCCAAGAAAACATGTGATCCTCTATTGACTCTATGTCCTCTCTCAGCTCAGCCCTAATTTGAGCAAGGGCAGCAGCAATTGCACGTTCAATCAACCCAAGCACAACGGCCTCTTCCCGGGAGGCACACACATCAGTAGAATGAGCCTGATGGCCCATTTTGTACATCACGATCAAGGTGATAAGGGGTCGGGAGCCAGTAACAACAGTAACAGTAGAAGGATGGGGTGCAATAGCTTAGCCAGGAGAAGCAGAAGTAGAGGGACCTGAAATACATATAGGCTCACTAGCCTATGGAGGATGTATTGCCTCTGTCGACAACGTATCAACATCAACCATCAGGGACGTATCCACCGATGCAGCACTTTTCTTATTAGCCTCATCCCTCATGTACTCATCCTTGATTCGTCGGATGTCAGTAGAGGAAGTGGGAGTCAGTTTTACATCCGTCTTCTCAATCATCTAAATACGAGTCCACCTACACAACTCAGTAATCAACACCAAAAAGGGAAGAGAAGTTTGACTTTGCTTAGCCCTCATGGCCACCTCTTGCTCAATGAACAGACCCAAGTTTAGCTTATCTCAATACATGATAAAACCTAGACACACCACCTTCGAATGTCGGAGGATTGACTTATTTTGTGAAGGCATAATAGTGCTACTAATAAACACGAACTAGTATATGGCAGGCACGTTCAGTTCCTTCTTCTCAGTCGATACACCGACCTCGATCCACCTCGCTATCATATCAAAAACTAGGGGTGTCAACCAACCCTTTAGATCATCTAGGGTTTTCTTCTAGATGAGATCAATGTTGTAATGCATGACATTCATAGAACACCCAAGCACCTCATTAATCTCAGTGCTACTGCACTTCACCTTTCGGCCCCGAACTACCACATGATCCACCGGTTTGAATGTAGTGGCCTTTTTTTTATTTTTGGCACTAGCTCCCCATAAGTAGAATAGAACTCCCAGACCTAACTAGGAATGTATGGGACTCGGGGCTTTGTGACGATCTCGAATTTCTGGAACTTAATGGTATTCCACACCTCTGGGTACCTCTCTACAACACCGTCAGTAGACACCTATTTTCTTCTAAATTGTCCTAAAACCCACGCCTTTAATATGTTGAGTGAGAAGGTTGGAGAAGCCTGAACTTGAGGTGTAGCATGCACTGCTACCTGAGCTTGAGCTGGAGGAGGACGACGAAGAGGCGTAGGAGGAATCGGGATCCTAGTTGGATCATTCATTGCTTTGGATCTTAGTTTCGGTCTCCTAGCCTGCAGGAGTTGGTCATCTTTCGGCTCATATATGGAGGCTGGAAAAATTCACTCAGAATGGCCTTCACTCTCGAACGTTGTGAGGTGAGTGGCATAGATACCCTCACTGTTGGAGCTCCCTTCGCTGGTGTGGGTTGTATGGGACCCTTCCCTTTACCTTTCCCCCTTGTTTTAGGAAGTTTAGTTGGTGCCTTTCGGGAGGAAATCGCCTCCTGATTAATCACAATTTGCCATGCCCGCTTTCGAGGTAGTTTATTTCTCCCTGCGACTTTAGGTCTAGCCATACCTGCAAAACAATGTTGAAAACATTAGACTTAGTTCAGAAAACAAATCAAAGTGTAACAGTTGCACGACGACTCACCGAACTATTCGGCGAGTCGCCGACCCTATTCAATGAGCTAAGTCGGGCTTACCTAATGTTACAGAAAAAATCAGCAAAAACTCAACAGAGGTCGGCGATGCTCAGGGCATTTCGGCGAACTACAAGTAGCTCGCCGAAAGTTACAGTATAGTTTCAGACAATAGGGGCGCAAAAGAGCAATCCGAAGGGACATTCGTCGAGTGAACTCGGCGAGCTCAGGCATATCGCCGAATGATACAAAACAAAAACTTCAAAAATGAAGAATAAAAAAGGCAATCGAGGGGTTTTTAGGTGAACCACTCGGCGAGCTCGACCCAGCTCGCCGAAGAGTACAACCTACCAGATTTTTACCCCAACCTACAAAAACTAACCCACAGCCCACGATAACAAAATTAACCACTATTTTGTGCAATTAGGCTCAAACCCATACTACCCATGCCTATGGGGTACTCAGACTTCCCCAAATTTGGCCAAAATTAGCTAATCGACGTCATTTGCCCTTAAGAATGAAGTCAATTGCTCTATAATTGGACAAAATCTGACAATCGACAAAATTTGGGGTTACTCAGACTTCACCCACACTAGACCCACAATAAATTCAATACAACCCACAGATTTAACAAGCAAAAACACGCGAATTCACAATTTAAGGCAAGTTAACATCAGCTTAAACTATATACGGGCAGGCACTAACACAACACATTTAACATATCATAATTATGCACCGAAAGCAACCACACAATGACCATGCATCCAATTTCACTAAAATGTAAAGTTAGGGTTCAGATAACCAACCTTAGATGCAAAGAATTTGGAAAGCTAGGCTAGCAACAAATCCAAAAATCCTCCCCGAGTTATTGATCCTACAAAAAAAGCAAGTAAAATAGCACAAGAGCAAGAAAATATGCAAGTCGAAAAGTTTGAAACTCAAAAAGTATTAAATGAGAGAGATATTTGAATTTAAAATGGTTTGGCCTTTTTGACTCTTCAATTCAAGCTCCAGTCAGTGATCATAAATTACATCATCGACCCCCTCGGCAATGCGCCAAGTAGCACTTCAGCACGCCGAGTTTTATAGAACCTCCAGTAAGGTAGGTGGTTCAAATGGTGGTCCAGGTCGGGCTTGCCGACCTATTCGATGAGACGCCGATTGAACCTTTGGCTCGACTAACTACCTATTTTCCAAAAAATTCAATTTTCCAACCTGCACATTCAACACCCGTTATTCAAACCATTGTAGTAAAAGCATAAAAGCTTGGGTTGCCTCCAAAGAATCACCTTATTTAACGTGGTGGCACGACGTGGATATGCTTTAAATGTTCATTTTTTGGGTTAGCCAAGGTATCATTTGGTAGACCCCCTATTGTCCTTGGGCTCAAATGAGATGAGATTTGACCCATTTGCGTTTCCAGTTGTTTGATGGACACTGAGTGAGAGGTGACTATCTGATTTAGTGTGGAGACGTCCTATTTCAATTCTTTAAGTACCTTGTCTAACCCTTCCACTTTATTGAGAATGTGTGGAGGCATGTCTTCTGTGCGAATGTTCTTCGTCTTTGCCCTATGCTCTTTTGTTCCTTCCAATTAGTCCCAAGGTCATGCCATTTCATGTCACGGTCTCTCCAACCATCATCTCACTCTCTATTCAAACCTTGATTTTCGCCCGGCACTGGATAGCTCGAACACAAACCTTCTACTTGATTTGCTAGAAAATTCACTTCCTCATTATATAGAGCCTCAAATTGTGCATCCTTAGGGTTTACTCCACTAACACCAACATCATTCACATTTTTCGACAAAATATCCATCACATTTTTCGACAAAATATCCAACTAGGTCATCATTTTGGCCATGTTTTGGTCTCACTCTTGGTCTTTCTCTATATACTCCTTTGTCACCCTAAAGGTCAATGGAGACATCTGATCCTCTCGAGTATACCAGGCTCGGTTTATCTTTGTCATCCCATCGAGGAGATTTGATGGTATTTCAAAAAGTTTCTACATAATACCTACTTGGACAAGTTGATCAGCCGCACCTTTGTTCACCAAGTCTAGACTCCAGCAGAAGTGTTGTAACAACACGTTGTTTGGAAGCCCGTGAGTCGAACATTGAAGTAACAACTTCTAAAATCTCAACCACGTCTCATGGATTGGCTTACCCTCTAAACGTTTAAAGTCCTGGTTATTGTCTCTTAATGCCATCATCTTTGAAGGAGGAAAAAATCTTATATAGAATGCCTCAATAAGCTCGTCCCAAGACATAATAGAATCCCTTGGTAAATTTGCTAACCATTTGGTCGCTTCCCCAATCAAAGAGAAAGGGAACAAATCGGAGACAAATTGACTCTTGTGAAATGTTTTTAAATAAGAACGGACCACATACGTCCACAAAGTTATGAATATAATCAGGGGGATCCTCATGAGCTAGCCCTTCAAATAATCTTTTCATTTGCAAGAGTTGCAACATCATGCTAGCCACGTGGAAAACAACATTTCCCACAACCTGAGGTAAACGGATTGCACCTACGCCACCCAATTGAATTGGTTCATTGACATCATTCAAATTTCTCATGTAATCTTGTTGGCCAAGTTGGATACCGTTACTTCCGTTCACACTCATTTCGTCACATGTTAACAAACAACAAACAACAAACACAAAAAAGTAAGTCGATTCAACTACAAACAAGATTAGATTACTGCTATACTTAAATAACAAAATTGTAAACACCACTCACTGGCAGTGGCGCCATTTTTTATTAAAACGCTCAACTACACCTCATCCAATACTAGGTGAAGGCGATCACAATCTAGTTTGAACCCAACAGAGAGTTAGGGTCGATACCACAGGGAGTAAAACAAGTTAGAATTCAATTACGAAGTGAAGGGTATGTTCTAATCGGTTGTAGGATTCAACGGGGTTGACAAAAAGTGTCAAATAGGAGGTTAAAGTTTGTCAATTATCAACTAAGAAAAATAGGGAAGTAATCAAGTTAATAAGGGATATATGGGGATATGATCGATTAATTACCAATTTCGCTAAATGGATGATTGATGTTTGCGTAATCAAGGACACAACTTCCGATGCAAGTGTCTACCATCGTGCAATAGTATAATAACCCAACCAAGGTTTGGGATCATTCCAAAGGGAGTGAGCGTGAGAATTAGTGGTTAAGTGCGAAAGTGCTACAGCTAATCATAGCTAAAGACTTTAACGAATGAAAACATAACAAATTAAAAAGGGTGACGCAAGCGTCAAGTATCAAATAGGGGTTTGTAAGCAAGAAACAACTAAAATAGTGAAAATAAGGAAAAACACAAGTATGGAAATGGGATTCTTGGGATGTGATAGGAATACGGGATAGATTAAATCATTGAGTTCCTACTTTTGAAAGTAAATTAATTGAGTATTTGTGACTAGGCAAGACTTTAAAGGGGATAAGCTCTCTCGCGAGCAACTTACCCCGTTTCAAATGTGTTCCTCTCGGACACCTATTTGCCGCATGAAGACCAGCCTAGT